AAAAAAAAAAAAACATTAACAAGACACCATTTTTGGTAAGTCAACTATTTTGAAGACCTACCAATAATAGTCAATAGAGTGTCCTATGCAAGTTGTCTCTTTGGTTTGGGAGCCATTCCCAAAGGAAAATATATCACTAGTAACTTGTGAGTTGTCCCACATAGATTAAATCGAAAAACCATCACTTGCTTTATTTATTATTTCATTATGTTAGAATATATATACTTGTGAGTTGTTCCATATCGACGATATATAAAAAAGTAGGCCTAATTACCTTATAAGCCTAGTGGAATACTCCCCATTCCACCAATTAGTTTTAGGATGAAACGTCCCTCACTAAGGCTCATCTATCTAGGCTCACATTGCTTAATTTAGTACGCTTCACGTCCGTGGGACCGCACCCGACAACCCCCGTTTCTTCACATTCCATTGGATGATGTATGTCACGTGTCTATTATGATACCAAATTGAAATAGTCCCATGCATTCAACGGAATATGAAATATGAGATGAAATTAATATGAAACTAAAATTTTAACTCTAATCACCTAGCTTATAAATCGATTGAGCAACTTTTTCTATCTCAATTTGATATGAAGATAGAACTTCACTTAAATGGCAACTAGGCTCGCCTTCTGAAGGCGCACTTCACCTTCTATGGTCTCATACCACTTCCCCTTAATACATAAAATATAATGAGCAGACTTAATTTAGGACCATATCAGACCTTTGCTTAACCGAGTCTGATAAAAAAAAAGTTAAAAATCACTCACATGTGAGAAGTTATATAAAAATATCACTTGTGAAGTGTCACGCCTAAACTAAATAGGGAAAATAAGCATATTTTATAAGCCAAAAAACCTCACTTTCTAGTCCTCTTGAAATTAATTAACTTATTTGTTCAACCTTAACAACTTTATTAAGATGGCACATTTGGCATAATATGTGTATAACCATAAGGAATTGGATTTAATACATATAAGCATAGCAAATATGGAAACTTACCGCAACTAGCAAGCCGATTTCGACCGAACCAAAAAGAACCCCGATGAAGGCACCCAAGCACACCAAAAAGTCGAGCTTGTCGACTTTCCATATCTTGTATGCTTCGTTTAGGTCGATGAGTCCAGGCAAGGCGGACAAGATAATGGAGGCAAGGATAGCAAGTGGTGTGTAGTAAAAAAGCTTGGTGAAAAAGAGTAGGCATATTAGGACCGTGATTGCCATCACAATGTTTGATATTACTGTCTCACAGCCCGCGCTAAAATTGACTGCAGTCTTGAGAATGAACCTGCAATATATATATCCCCCCACATTTAATTAATTAATTAATTAATTACATCATCAATTTATTTATATTATTCAACGAACCCGATTTATCTATTTATCCAGGTTAATTAATTAATTTATTGTACATAGAGTGAATATTTTCCAGATTCGACTAATGAACCCAATTTATTTATTTATTTATGTACGTATTTCACGAAAAATTCATTTTTGCTCCAAAATTACAATAAAATAAGTATTTTATCATGTGCATTTGCACTGTAAATAAAGTATTATAAGTTATCTATATGTATTATAATATTAAATTACTAGGATAGAGTGGAATAATTTAATAATAATAATAATAATAATAATAATAATAATAATAATAATAATAATAATAATGAATTGTAACAGTTATTTGAAGAAATAATATCACATAAGTAAAATTTATTAGGTTTTATTTAATGATTTGCTAGCAATTATGAGGTACACTTTATTAGGTAAAATTTATTATGTAAAATTTTTGAGGTTTAATTTAATGAATTGCTAGCAATTATATATATAGATAAAATAAATAATGGACATATAGAGGAATTTAAATAAATGAATAGAATCCCGGAACGCGATTGATTTCTAAGAACACTTCCGGCGACATTTATTTATATGTAATTACCGGTTGCTGTGTAACATGAGGTTAAAGAGCCAACAATGTTCATAAATCCAATGGCAACCATTTCTTTGTTTCCATCCAAATGGTATCCTTTTATGGATGCAAATGATCTCCCAACAGCAATGGCTTCCTGATCATAAAATTGTCACCATCAAAATTAATATGACATGTGTTTTTATAAGAAAAAAAAATTAAACTAATTTAATATGTTAGGCAACCCAACAATAGACCTACAATTATTTTTTAAAAAAAAATTGGTACATTATGCAGACTTAATGGTTAGACATTCATACTTTATCGATACAAATGCAACTTTAAAATTAAAGTGTTATACTCTCAAAAACAACGTACATAAAAGTGTAACATTTTATAATATAAGTATTCATTTTAGTTAAAAAAAAATATGACAGATGGACATGTGAAAGCTAAGAACATGTTTGTATAGGAAAATTTTCACTCAAAATATCACCAAACTCAAAATCTAACTCAATTTTAACTTAACTCCAATATCCTCAATACTAATAATATAATTAAATAATGCTATTCAATCATTCTTACACATCACATCTAGTTTAATTCACAGTTCATTCAGTCACATGATTTTAACTAACCATCATTTCATATCATCTCTCTCCTACCTTTACATCAAATCAACTTTATTTATTTTATTTTAATATAAATCTCAGATCCCACACTACAAAAAATTGTTATTTTTCAACAGAAAATCCTAGGTAATATATTCCAATAGAAATTTCAACAGATATTCCAATAATATAGCTTTCGTCGGGATGTATTTTTAATTGGAATTCAGATGAAATTGGATGATTACAACGGCTTTTGACCGTAGAAATTCCCGTTGAAATATGCAATGTCCTCTGGAATTTTTATTTCCACCACCATTGAAAAATCTACTGTCGGAATCGTCAAAATCAAAGAAAAATCCAACGGAAAACTCGTTCTCGGAAATAATAGCATTGAAATATACATTGAAATTGCCATTAAAATTCTATCGGAATATATTTCCGTTGGAATTTCACTATTTTCTTCTAGTGCCACCAACAATTTTAATTTTTTTTTTTTTTTTCAAATTAACTCTTATTTAACCAAAAAAAAAAAAAAAATCCAATTTGAGTTGAAAATTTTTGTACACAGACATATGCTCTAAGCCTCTAACTGGGCTCATACAAACAAAAAATTGGTGGTATTAGATATATTGCAAACAAAGTTGAGAGATATAAAGTAGTGTAACTGACAGTGAGGGCTATGAGTGCACAGATGAATCCAATTTTGGCTGAGGGCCCAAGATGAGGACCTCCAAACTCTAACTGATCAAGTGAACTTGGATTTAGCCCTCCTTTGAAGTGTTTCACAATTTTGATGCCATGGCTATCACCTTTGCTGAGGTACACTATCAAAGTGGACAATATGACTGACAAGAGAGGGGCCATGGCTGGCACCCAGAACAACTTCCTCTTCTTCTGACCCTGAAATTATTTAATTTGATCGTTACCGTCGGACATAGTTAGGAGGAATCCCGACGGAATGGTTCCGTAACGGGACCGTAGCATCTCTCTGTAGAGTTATAATCTTCAATAATAATAAAATATATAACAAGGATGTGTGTGTACTTACGATAAATCTGGCAACAAGGATGAAAATTAGGAAAGAGCAGCCAAGAACAAAGTTCACTGGGTTCCACTGTTCCAAAAATAAAAGAAACAAAAAGTTCATACAACTGATTCAAATAATTAAAAAAATAATTAT